AGATATTGTTGATAATATTGCGAATAAGAGTCCATTTTCATTACGAATGCTTGGAACTCCAAAGATTATTAAAGAAACTAATGAGCACGTTCGTCTAAAGAGAGCTGTTGGACCTGAAGATGGCACTATCTTTGATTTTATGCTCCGTCCACCTAATGATGAGGCACCAGTTATAGATAGTCCTTTCTTACTTGTCCTGGAATCAGAAACAAGTAGAATTTCTAATACGGACATTGAACCAGAGACGACAAAAATTTCTAACGCTGATGCCGAAACTACTGAAGCTATTGGAATCGAACTTGGATTGGTCATAAAATTATTAGAAGAATTCGATATCCTCGGATACGAACTTTTGCCTCCACGTGAGAAATTTCCCGATACTTTTCCTCTCAAACGGATAGCCCCAGCATATTGCCCATTATGTGATCGAGAGTATGAATATAAAGAACCGCATAATAGTGATAATGCATACGTTGTTCAGAATAAAAAATCATATAGTTTTTATTGTCACCGTGCAAATAATAATAGAGAGGCCGGATCCAGGAAACCTTCAATAAAGTTAACCTTTAAAGAATCAGCTACAGAACAAGAAAACAACCTCCCAGTTCCACTAAAATTGGAAAACTCCAAAATTTCTGATCCAAATGACCATTTTATATGGGGTGACCTGGTTCGTATGTACACTTTTAAGAAAAAATTTATCCGTACTGAAGTATATGACGCGATTCAGACTGTCCTCGCTTGTGTAGTATTTTCACAGTCGAGAATATGGATTTCTAAACATAAAAAACCAGACGGCTCATTAATTTTTAAAATAGGTTCCAAGTTAGGTTTCAGTAGTTTAAATATTAATCTAGTGGAACTTGGAGGAGAATCAATAGGATTAAAATCCTTAATAGATCGCACATATGATAATGGAGATATTACATATGATGATATTGATTTTATGCCATACCCCCCAAATGTCACTCCATCAAAAAACAATTTTTTTAACCTTTTCTTAGAATTCAAGGCCAAGCCAGCACCTCAAATTAATTACGATCTAATAAACCCAATTACCTGGCATATAGAAAATATCTGGTGTAATGGGGATAAAGCTCTTTCTGAATATGTCCTCAATTGGATTGCATTCTTAGTGCAGTATCCAAATAAAATTCCAGAAACTATTCTTGTTTTACGTTCACCACCACGTTGCGGAAAAATATCATTACTGATTTTATTCGAAAAAGTTTATTTGGTCCAGAGCTTGTGTTTTCGACATCTGATCTTGGAAAAATATTAGGAAAATTCAATAGCTGTGTTCAAGAACGTAAACTTATCATTATAAATGAAGCAGGAATGCTCACTGGGGAATGGCATAAATCAAATGATCACTTAAAATCTCTAATTACAGAAGATTACATCACAATCGAACACAAAGGACTAGAACCTTTTGACTGTGGACATTTCCCTGGATTTATAGTATTAAACAATCATGATGCCCCAATTCGTGTTGAACAAGGAGATGGTCATATTGTATGTTTAGACGTTTCACCTCGATGTAAGGGTAATTTTAAATATTTTGGTCAGTTAGGAAAAATTCTCAACCATCCTGACACACCTGGATCTTTTATGAGTTATCTACTTGATCGGGACCTTTCGAATTGGAATCCAGAAAAAAATATACCTACCACTAAAATGAAAACAGAAACAATGCAAGAGCATCTCCCAAATCCTATTCGATTCATAATCAATCATATTTCACTATGGTCCGAGAATCAAGTTGAGAATCCAAGCACTGATTTGTTATATCAGGCGTACCGTACATGGTGTGAAGCTAATGGTGAAAAACCGTTTACTAATAGTATTTTCGGGAAAAAAATCAAAATGAAAATTAGTATTGAACGTAAACGGGCGGGTAGTGGAAAAAGAGAATGGCAATATATACTTGATCGATCCAAAATCGTGGCTAAGATGCGTGAATCAATATGTGAGATTGAGGAATTTTCTGACACGCCTAAAGATAATCCTCCTATCGATAGTTCAACAGGTATGCCCATATTTAACGTACCCGAAATTACCCCTAAACCAGAAAAAGATACAGCAGAAGCATTAACTCCCGATCGCAATGAAAAAGGTAAAGGTACATCATCCGCTCCACCCTTTACTAATATGACCCAAGATCTCTTCGATTCAATAATAGATCAACCGGAATTTTCTGTTGCTTCGTCATCCGGGTTTACCAATATATCCATGACTCCAGAGATCGAATGTGTAGAACCTGTAGACGATAAAGTTGAAACTCCTTCTGAGATCATCGAATCGATGAATGTTGATCCCAATTTATCAGTGAATGTTGATTCCGATTTATCCCTCGACGAACAAAAAACCAGTAGCGAAGAAACTCCCACCCAGATATCATACCCACCCGGATATCTAGCCAGGGAGCAACGAGAGGCTCGTCTCCGTCAAAAAGCTATTGAACTTGACGAGGATCCAGATAAGTTTATGATTATAACTGAAAAAGATAAACTCGATTCAATATCATTTAAGGATAAGATGCAGACTGATGCAAGAATGTGTGGCTTTGCAAAGGAAGGTGAAGAAGACCCCAAAGAATATATGGTTATGAAAATACGTGAAAGGTTGATAGGGGAAGAAATAATTCGTCGATATGATGAAAAACACGGAATTTCCTCATCGTGGCTCAATACTGACGAGGAATAGAAAAAAATGGTTAACATACTCCAGGAAAATGGAATGTATGGCAAATTGCTCGATCATTAAGGAGTGGATTGTGGGTGGAGACTAGGACATTTTGTCTCTACAAAATAGTTAATATAAAAATTTCCAATAAAAATATTACTGCAGATAGCCTACTCTATATGCCTCTGTTTCTCGTACCAGTTATTGAAATAAACTCTCTTAGCGTGGATTGCGCAATATCCCGTGTAAGATAATGTACGTTTACCACATATTCTGCAGGGCTTTTTTTTCATATTTTTTTCATATAAACTCCAGTGTTTAGCGCAACCCATAGTACGAGTACAGACGTTCTCACAAACTGATCCATCCCTCTTGATATGTTGGCAAGTTACGCGATTCATAACAATTTTGGTATAAGGATAGTATAAATGTCTTTCACTTTTAATGTATAATATATAGTTTTAAATATAACAACGCTATTGATGTCATCTGAAAATCTTAATTGAACAATTCAAACATTTTTAGTAGAAACATATCCTTATTACCACTTAATATATATACCCAAGAACTGGAATACAATAAAGAAACAATAACCGCTAAGGAATTATCCAAACTAGCTGGGTGTTCGAGGAAACCAAAAATTTATAACCCCAAAACGAATCATATGATTGCAATCAATGGACCAACATATAATAAATTGATACGTGGTGGATATGTGCATTGGGAAGAAGAAGGGCTCTTGATCCCACCATCACCATTCGATAAATATATTAGCGGAGCAAGCACAAGGTACTAAAAAATAAAACATAATACCATAAAACTTATCATAGCCTGGATCGCAACTCCAAATCTATAAATTTTTTCATTATATTCTATGTGATATCAATATTTCAAATTGACAGATCCGACCGGCCAATTTTTACCAAATATCGGGTCCCTGAGTATAGGATGAAAAGGCATAATTAATTTCGATTTGAAAAAATATATTCCATAGTGTATATAACCTAAAGAATTGTTCATAACCTACTCGACCTACTATAGCATTCAACCATGTCAGCCATCGTAACAAAAATCGTTGAAAAATACAATCTCAGCTACAAGACTGACCCGTCTGAACTTAGTCAATATACCTCTGAGTTTCTCAAGGATCTTACAGACGATAGAAAAAGGAGTCAAGCACGCAGACGTCTTCGGGGTGGCTTTAAATTTAGCAGCGAGCAGGTGAGTATATTGATACCTAATCAGAGAAGCGGTAAAAACAAAATTATAAATATCGTTGAAGGTAGTTACAGAATAGCTATAGCTTCACCCCCAAAAAATTTGGAAGAAGAGATCGTCAGAGAAATAACTAAACGAATCTTACAGAATAGATATAGTTTTAGTGGAGATCAAGTGAATGCCTTATTCTCTATCCAGAAAAATGTCGAACCCAAAAGTGAAACCATAAACATTGTTATTTCTAATCAGGTCATACAAGAAACAATTGGAGAGATGGCACATCAGCTTTTACAGGATAAGCTTAGTATTAGAAATATAAGAGCTAAAGCTCATGCCTTAGCCCTATCCGCATCAAACGCCAATGGTGGTTCATCACGTCTTTCGCGTCTTTGTAGAGAATTAAGGAACCTCAATGCATCACTTGATATAATCGAGGCTACGAAATTTTCAGATATTACAGAAGAAGCTAACAAAATCCAGAGGGTTAACCAGAAAAAGGCTGAAGCTAAACGTATCGATTATCCAGATGGATTTACATTAGAATCAGTTAAGGAACGATTGGATGGTTATACTACATCTAATCCACCTGATTTATAAGCTCTCGCTGATGTCATGGTGATGCTTTGTATTCGTCCCGCTGAACTTATAACTTTACGTATTACAGATGCCGGAGTCACAGGTTATGCAAAGAACAGGGGCCAACCAGATATTCCTAGAAAATTTAGATCTATAGAAAAGGATCAAGAGCGAGCCAAAGAATTACTAACCTGAATACAGAATTCTATATCTTCTGGTCGAATGGGCAATCCAGGTAAACCGGGAGCTAAATGGTTCAATATATTCTTGAAAGATTATGATTTAATTCCTAAATACTTACGTAAATTAGGAGCAGTTTACGGTGCAGTAGTTCATAAAGCTGAGAACTCAGCCAACGCCTATACCATTGCTGGAGAATGTCTACGCCACAGCCCTGATAACCATATTTCTCCTGTACAAAATTACGTTGTAGTGAATTATCGTCCCCTTGGAGTTAGTCCAGAGAAAGCAAAACCATTCCGAATCTATGATGAAGATAGATAGATTAATAATTAAACATATCAATCCTTATTATGTATTGTTGTATCTACATATTCCCAACGATACCCTCCGACATAAGTTCGAAATCCACGACATACTAAACTAATTCTATCCCCTCTAATTCCTGTTACACGATATGCTTCAGCTAAAGATGAAAATTTTTGAGAAGTCTCATTAGTAAAAATTTGTTTAACAGCGTGTTTTTTGAAGTCATTATTACAAAGTCCGATGCGTACAGCATGTTAAATATTCTCTTTCGGGGTAACCCATTCAAGATTCGAAGCCTTATTATTAGTGGGATTTCCGTCGATATGATTTACATAATTTTTTTCTGGTTCTTTTGGACAAAAAGCTAATGCTATTAAGCGATGGATCTGATAGTTCTGATGTCCTCTGTCAACTTTAAAATATCCCATTTGCAATGTCCCCTGTGTAATTATACCATTTACTGTTTGAACTCTACCTAGGGACGATACTTTAAAATTTTCTGAATCAAACTCTATCTCTCTCCATTCTTTATTGGGATTAGGTTCTATATAATCTTCATAATACATCCAACGCCATCCTCCAACAAAATTTCGTTTTTTATTACAACACTGGGAAATAGCACTTTTATGAATATTAAGTGTATCTTGCGCAATAGAAAGTGAATCCCAAATCCGAATAACATTATCATCTAACCCAATTTGTACAACTTTTCGAGATCTGCTTCGACCAGGATTCAGAAATACTTTGCGATTAGCATTTTCTTTAGAAGTTACCCATTTCAGATTGTCTACCTGATTATTTGTCTTAATACCATTAATGTGATTAACAAAAGGTTTATTTTCTGAATTTGGAATAAATACTTTTGCGACTAGTCTATGAATATAAGAATAGGTACGAATTCCATTGATCTTTATGTCAGCTTGTATGTAACCTCCTCTAGATATATATCCTTTAAAAGTTGTTCCTTTTTTATTTTTAATATGCCCATGATTAGAAATAAAATAATCTGAATTTGTTATAAGTAATCAAACCTCCATTTCAATGTTTATTGCATACTATTAATTTATTTTCAAATTCGTATTAAGGCTTTACAAGGGTTACAGAAAAAAGGGACAGACTCCAGAGCAAGCAAGACTATTCTATATCTACGATGAAAATTAATTACTAATCACGCTTCTTTACTTTTGGCACTTCATACCAACTCCGCTGATACCTATTCACTGATCTCAAATTCAGATTCAGAGTCTTGCTCCGACTCAGATGTGGATGGAGACTCAGATGCAGTATCGTTAAAAATTTTCTTTTTTCTTTTAGCCTTGCATGATGTACGTTTTCTTCGAGAAATATTTGGGATTGCTATCGAGTTCATAATTTCTTGTTGGATCTCGGGTTTCACTATCTTCAGTAATTGGCGAATAGAAATCTGAATTTTTTTACTAGATACTTGCTTAACGATGTCGGATACCGCTCGATCAGTAATATTTGATAGACTTTTATCTATTTCCAAGCACAGCTCTTTTGCTTTTTCATATGTAATAATTGGGCAATCTGAACCCGAATCGCAAACCGCTTCTGTATCCCTACCATTAATCGCTATTGATAGTTTTTTCATTGATTCTATTATCGATGCGGTTTCATCATCATTCTCCTGTAAATTTTGATGAGCTGACTCAGTATTGTTATTAGCTTCAACCATTATATATGTTAAATTATTTTTATGAGTTTTGACACTAGCTCTGCTATTATTGTGTAATAAAAATATATTATTAAATAAATAATTATAATAAAGCATCACAATGATAACTTTATCTTGCGAAATCAATAAAGTACCAGTAACAGTTATACTAGATTCCGGTGCTAATTGTAATGTTATAGGTGATGAAGTAGTAAATGGGGTAGGTTTGAAAATCGACGATACATCTGATACAGAAATATACAATCCCAGTAAGTTCGATATACTAGGGGTAATTCGTGAAATAGAAATTTCAATCTTGTCTCAAGGTCCTAAATGGAAACACGTAAAGATTACTGATAATTTTGTTTCTAATGAACCGCAACTTAAATTTGTACTACTATTGGGCCAGCCATAGTTTCAGAAAAATGCGATGATATTGGATATCCCAAATAAAACTCTTACGTTGCTCGATGGGACTAATATACCATTAGTTATTGTACAAGAAATCTCATCACCAACGCAAGGTAATGAATCTGTGGATAATTATTTTGAAATGATAAAAGTGTATGCCACGGCTTTGGATGTTGATTTAGATAACCGAGACCTTAAGAGAACTTTCTTTAATGGCTTATTACGAGAAAATAAAAAAGAGGTAATTCGATTAGGGTTTGAAAAATCTCTGAATGTAGTAGTCAAACACTTGAATAGAATCTCATCCGGATTTATTGATATAGAAAAGTTCCCATTCGGGTCTTTGAAACAAGGTAATGATTCGATAATGGATTTTTACAGGAAAGTGAAAGAATATTATAAATTACTCGGAAATGTTGAAAAGCTTCATCTTAAAAATCATTTTATCTGTGGATTGTCGCGCGATAACCAGCTAGAAGCCGGGAGATGTGGATTGGACCTCCCATTAGACGAGTTAGTAGAAAGGTTAAGCACATTGGAAGATCTCACTAACCAAGATAAGTAGGATAATGTGTAATTATTGCATTTCGAGATTTTTTATTTACCTAATGTAGGAAAGTGAGTCGACCTACCCATCTGCCATATATATTTTTTCGGTTAACTCTGGAGACAAAGGTAATAATTACATAAATCGTGATAAAAAATATTTCTAGTATAATATCCAAAATGATAGAAAATTTTAATGATTATGCGGAACGAAAAGTGAAAAATGAGTTTAAATATCTCAAAGATTCCATTATAGATCTGGAATACGGAATGCGTATGTTCCATAAAAAGCTAGAGAATATTGTCGATCAATGTAATTATATATATTCAGATAATTATGATTATAATAGCAATACATCAGATTCAAATTGTTCTGATATTTTACCCAATGTTGTTACAGTAAAAAGATACATGAGTCTAAAGACCTCGGCTCTATCCATTCTAAACCTAAAAAGAAACAAAATAAGAACAAGGTATATAATTGTACAAAGGTATGTAAAGTAGCCTCAAGACATAAATTAATCGTATAATAAACCGCGATCCTTGATCTACAGGACCGAAGGGGCAACCCTAAAGGGTTATAAAAAATTGGATTATCATGATCATGGGCATATGTTTGAGATAACGTAGATGCAGAGGAATAAGCATTTTACAGGTTAGATCCACATGTTTTTGTGCGACCCAATTTCTCACATATACCCTCATTCGTCGTTTTTTGATTAATTTTCATGTTTTTCGCCGATCATAAATTTCACTAAGAATAAACTTGTGAAGCATATCTCTTTCATACAAAGTTTCGGATGTAATGCTATTTCGAGTTGGGATAATTTTTTGAGCGACCTATGAACTGGTATATAGGCGATATGAGATTTGTTTTTTTTCGTCGCTAAAGCATGGATAAAACCCACATAATAGCTCTAGTGAAAAACATTCTGAATGAGATCCCGAAAACCCTTGTTACCGATGTTCAGATTCCAAAACTTTCGCCATGCTCATTATGTGACGAGGGTGAGATTTTTTCAAACCCGCATGCCATACTTAGAGCATTCACCTTAGCTCCCTGTGGCCATTTATTTCACTAACTTTGTCTCGAAAAACATCTTTTACAATTAGAACCAAGGTGTCCTGTTTATAGGTGCAACAAAGATATCGAAACGACCCTCTCGCCATCCGAAACAGAACTGCAAGAAGACCCAATGGAATTATCACCGCAAATGACAGAGGCCAGCTGTGGTAAATATATATCATTAACCAGAGACGAGCGTATAAAAGATCTTCCATTATTCGAGAGCAACAATGATATTGGTCTTACTTAAGCTTTACAAAATAAAGACGCCTTCTCTTCAGCCAAAAATGCTATTGAACCAACTTCTGAAATATGCTCCAAGTGCTCCGAAGCCATCTCTCCAGAACTTTCAAAACCGGTCGTATTATTGACATGTAAACACGTTATCCATTTCGAGTGCATTG